CCTAATATTTAACATTTGAACATAAGACAACAGTTAACTGCTTTCTATTGTCGAACGCTAGTTATGTTAAAATTTCCCTCGCTCAAAAAGCCGTTCGAAAGGCTAACGTGATTAAAAAGAAAAAGAACGGATTTTACTTGCTTACCGAATATCCATTTGAGTAGACGTCTTGCAGCCACCAATTTTCATCGCCTCATCCAGCTACATATATATATATAAGGTAACCTGAAATACAATTGTACATATTAATATATTAAGCAATAAAACCATTTAAATTCCATTTGCTCATACAAACTCTCTTGTGTACTTTTTTTCTAATTAAAATACATCGGTGCGAACTTGAAACTGGGCCATTACCAATTTGCGGCACATCCGAAAACTGCGCTCTTAACCATCTTTGCCCGATGAACATGGTCCTCCGTCGCCGTGAGCACAAATTATAAGATTCCCGGAGATATCAGCCAGATCAAAACGCTAATCAGCTACATCAAGATCAGCCGAGAATCAATCCACCAGCACTATTAGATAGCATTTCGGCTAAAATTCCACAATCCAGCATAGCAGCTAGCCAAGGAGTTCATACATGGTCACCACACAGCAAAATTGAATTTTTATCAGCTACAACAAAACAACATAAAGCACATTAAAAAGGTACGTGGTTGTTTTGAAATATCACTGCACTTGTTTTTTTTGGTGTGAATTATTAAATTTAAAATATATACTAAAAGAATAGTGTCCGCGAGTGATCTTGTGAAAAAAAAAAAAAGTTACAGTCCACTAAAAGTTCTGTCTGTCCGCAAGCAGGCACAGTAACCTCAATTAGTAAAAGCGCGCGAAAATTCATTTTGCATTTTAAGTTTCTGCAAGATAGAATAATATTCCCAATCGAATTAAAATCACATTTTTCAATTTGGAGTTTTAAATTAATTCACGGGAATTTACACATTTTCAGTTTTTTCTGAGTTCCGGATAAGTGGCACAAGTGTATTAACATACACACATACACATATCAAATTCGCATGGTAGCAGAGGCTTAACCTCAAAAAGTGCCATTTTCGTCTTTTCGCCTTTTTCACAAAATCACTCACTAAGCATTAATTTAATATTGATTTTATTAAAAAACGATTTTGTATCCTAAAAACATACGTGTTATAAAAAACTATACACATACCGGGTGGCGACCAATACTTAAAGCAACCACAAGAGACATATGTACATACACACGCACATATATTATTAAATAAAACGATTGTGCATACATATATGTACATACATACATAGATATTGAGTACCATAAATTTTGGGATTTTTACGAAGTTGTGGAGCTTAGGAGGCAAATTTTGTGATTTTTACAAATTGGGTGGCTTTTGGGCAATAATTTCAACTGTGTCATTCACTATAGTGGGTGTTTTCTTTGAGTTGCTTATTCTGAGGAAGAATCTTGAGAGATCTTATTAGGTTGTGGTTAAAACTTTAAAAATGGAAACATACATTCGCTTAGCTGACTCGGTTATTGAATTCGATATCGAATTTCTTGGCACACCCACAAGTGAACACACCAAGCATTCGCTGAAAATTCAGCAAGAGGAGCTAAAGGTGATGTGGGAGAAAGCCAAAGCACTTTTTGATGACTTGCTGGCTACGGAATCAATTGGTGCTAAAGATCTAAGTTCGATACGTAAGAAAGGAAAAACGTGCTATGCAGCTTTTGTGCGATGTATGTCCAAAATAAACGATTTGTCGGAAAAATTTGCAAAATCGGAAAAGGAAGATGAGGACATGTCAGCCACACAGCATAATTTACACCTACCGCCTTGTGATATCGACGCATTCAAGGGCGATTATTTGTCATGGCCAACATTTCGTGACATGTTCACGGCTATATATATATTGAACAAGCGGCTGACACCCATTCAAAAGCTTTACTATCTTAGTCAGAAAACGCAGGGTGAAGCCAAAGAAATTGTTAAGAAATGCGACCTGACAAATGATGGGTTTAATATAGCCTGGAAGAATTTGTGCGATAGGTATGAGAATAAAAGGATCCTAGTTAACACCCAGTTGAAGATCCTCTTCAATCTACAGGCGGTGGAAACTGAATGCGGGAGTGCAATTAAAAGATTGCAAAGGGATATAAACAATTGCATATCTTCCCTGGAGAGTCATAAAATTGACATTTCAACCTGGGATCCAATAATTACATACCTTTGCTCCACAAAATTACCAGAAGAGACTCTTTCGCTGTGGGAGCAATCAGTGCAAAATAAAACAGATATTTCCAAGTGGGCTGACATGGACCAATTCTTGTCAAGCAGATTCCAAACTTTGGAATCGGTCTCGGGGTTGAGAGGAATCAAGGTTTCAAAAATTTCAAAAGGGTTAAGTCATAAGCATTCCTCTGAACCGCCACAAAAGAAACTTGGCACTTTTCAAACTAGTGTAAGCAAATTTACTTGCAAAATGTGTCAATGCAATGATCACAGACTGCATATGTGCCAAAAATTCTTAAATATGTCGATATCTGATAGGATCGCTTTTATTAAAACCAACAATAGTTGTTTTAACTGCCTGTCCTTTGGGCATACGGTGTCGAAATGCACAAGTTCCTACAACTGTGCCAATTGCCATTCTCGACATCACACCCTACTTCATATACAGGCGACTCCAGGTAAAACAACGACAAAGGAGAATACAGCCAATCCAGTTAACAATGGTGCATCGACATCCAGGCAGGCACAATTACGAAACCAATCTTCAAAGGGAAAAGGTAAAGCAGTCAGACATGTGCAAACACATCACGCGAATTCAAGCAAAGGCGTTTTACTTGGGACAGCTCGAGTAAATATTCATTTTAATGGTACTAACTTTGCGGCAAGAGCGTTAATTGACTCTGGCTCTGAGTGTTCCTTCATCACGGAGAGGCTCAGACGCAGAATCAACTTGCCGACCAAGAAGATGTTAGCACAGGTTTCGGGCATCAATAATTCTGTTTCAGCGCAGGTGAAAGAAGCGTGTTCGATTCAATTGCGGTCACCAATTGACCCACTTATTTCTATTGATGCCCTTGTGTTAGTTCTACCAAATCTGACAGGGAATTTGCCTACTTGTGATGTTAGCGCACTCACACAACAAGTTTTTCCTGATCTGGTTTTGGCAGATAAAAGGTTTTTTGTGAATGAACAAGTCGATCTGGTTCTTGGAGGAGACATATATCCTCAAATAATATTAGGTGGAATTAAGAAGAACGTTCTCAGTACTCTCTTAGCGCAAGAAACAGTATTCGGTTGGATACTGACTGGTCGTGCTGATGCAGCCAGCCCAACCAGCAATAATCGAGTTTCAATTTACAATGAGGTTGCCCTTGATAGACAGTTATGCTTATTCTGGGAACTGGAGGATTTGCCGAGAAACAGAGCACCAACAACCGAAGAAACACAGTGTGAGGAGCTCTACAAGCGTACAACCAAACGGAACCCAGACGGAAGGTATATCGTTTCGCTTCCATTCAAAGCGGAGTTCCCGGCTGATACCAAATTGGGGCCATCACTGAGAATAGCGTGCTCGCAATTCTACAAAAACGAGACACGCCTCAAGAAAAATCCAGATTTGCATGCGGAATACAACAGGGTCATACTAGAGTACGAGACAATGGGGCATATGTCGAAAATCAATGCACTTCAGTCGGCCGATGCAATCGACAATTACTATCTGCCTCATCATGCCGTGATAAAAGAAGAAAGTATATCAACAAAGGTTCGGGTGGTTTTTAATGCTTCGTCTTCTTCAGCGAATGGGGTCAGCTTGAACGATGTTCTTTTACCAGGGCCAGTTCTTCAAGCTGATTTACCAATTTTGATTCTCCGCTGGAGACTTTTTAGGTACGTCTTCAATAGCGATATTGAGAAGATGTACAGGCAAATTCTCGTGGATGCCAACCAGACGAAGTACCAGAGATTAGTCTTCCGTACGGGTCCAATCGGTCTTTATGAATTAAAAACGGTTACTTTCGGTATAAACTGTGCGCCTTATCTGGCGATAAGGACATTACTGCAGCTAGCTAATGATTCAGAAAATTCCCATCCGATAGCTTCGAATATTTTACGGAAAAATATGTATGTCGATGATGTTCTTGCGGGCGGACATACTATAGACTCCACGTTACAGGCTAGGGATGAGGTTTCTACAGTTTTGAAATCAGCTGGATTCCCTTTGCGAAAATGGACCTCGAATTGTGACAAAATACTACAGGGCATACCAAAACCACATCTTTTAAGCGAAGATTTCTTAGAATTTGAGGACACTAGCAGTGTAAAAGCATTAGGTATCAGGTGGAATGCGCATTCCGACCAATTTTATTTCATAACCAAGACCATAGACGATAACATCACGCCAACAAAAAGAGCAATATTGTCAGCCATCGCCAAACTATTCGACCCGTTGGGTTGGCTAGCTCCAATAATAATAGTTGCAAAAATACTTATGCAGAATATATGGTTGGAGGGTACAAAGTGGGACGAAACGGTCTCCGTTCCAACCTTAGATAGGTGGCACAATTTCACAAAAAATTATAAAGAAATCGACAAAATAAGGATACCGCGGTGGGTATCTTTTTCACCAAAGGAAAAAGTCGAAATTCACGGATTCTGCGATGCTTCTGAAAAGGCATACGCGGCCGCAGTCTACCTACGTGTCGAAAGAGACGAGAAAATACTTGTCAACCTCCTGTTAGCGAAAACTCGAGTAGCCCCAGTGAAAACAATTTCATTGCCTAGATTGGAACTTTGCGGGGCGGTATTACTAGCCGAAATAGTCGAATCTATTACAAATAGCCTGGAATTAGGCCACCTAAACATACATCTTTGGACAGATTCGACGATTGTTTTGGCATGGATACGCAAGCCCCCATGTTCGTGGTCAACATTCGTTGCCCATCGAGTTACTAAAATAATAGACAAGGTAGGGAATTCTAACTGGTTGCACGTCGACTCTGCCACAAATCCAGCAGACTTAGCAAGCAGGGGCATATTGGCGCATGAATTGGTACAAAATTCGTTGTGGTGGCAAGGACCTTCTTGGCTGCAAGAAAATAGAGAAAATTGGCCATTACAAGAGATAGACTTCACTACTAATATTGAGGAAAAACGGTTGCACGTTCATTCAACAATAACGTCAAACGAACTTAGTGACATTCTTGAGCGGTTTTCAAGTTTACCGAAAGCTTTGAGGGTGCTCTCGTATGTATTGAGATTCCTTCAAAGAACCAGTCCGAAGACAAAAGCTTCTTTTCAGGCGAACTCTTCTTTAATTTCGTCAAACGAAATTTAAACAACGACTATACGTCTGATAAAACTCGCTCAGATGCAACATTACGGAGCAGAAATCGCTAAACTTAAAGCTAGAGAATCCATTGAGTCAAAAAGTGAAATCCTTCCTCTAAATCCGTTGCTTGATAAAGATGATTTGCTGAGAACTGGTGGTCGTCTTGGTGCATCTCTTGATCTGGCATATAGTGAACGGCATCCAGTCATACTCCCATACAGCTGCAGGTTATCGCGCCTAATAGTCCAATTTGTACACGAAGTCTCTCTCCATGGTGAAAACCAACTCATGTTGCGTCTCATCCGAACCCAATACTGGATTCCAAAGGTGAAAACACTAATAAGGTCCACCATCCATAATTGCAAAATATGTACTATTCACAAAAAACGCTCACAAAGCCAACTTATGGGGATCCTTCCACAAGAGCGAACTACGTTTTCGCGAGCATTTACAAATACAGGTGTGGATTTCGCTGGACCCTTTGAAATAAAAAGTTATCGTGGGCGGGGGTGCCGAATCTCAAAGGGTTACGTCTGTCTTATGGTCTGTTTTTCTACGAAGGCCATCCATCTAGAGGCCACAAGTGATTTGAGTACCCAATCCTTTCTAGCGGCATTTTCAAGATTCGTTTCCAGACGTGGGTGCCCAAAAAATGTCTACTCAGACAATGGGACAAACTTTGTAGGAGCTTCAAGAGCGTTAAAAGCAGAATTTAAGGCATTTCTTTCCGACGCGCGGACACAGACGCTCTCAAAATATGTTCACCAATCACTAACCTGGCATTTCATACCTGCCGCAGCTCCGCATATGGGGGGCTTATGGGAGGCAGGTGTGAAAAGTTTCAAAAGCCACTTTAAAAAGATAGCGTCAAATTCGAAATACACTTTCGAGGAGTTCAGTACACTACTTTGCAGAGTTGAGTCATGTCTCAACTCGCGTCCACTTAGCCCAGCCTCAAATGAGCCATCTGATCTGGAGCCTCTAACTCCAGGCCACTTTTT